ATTTTGCTTCTCTTCTTTGGATAGAAGAACGTATCGCATTTAGTCGACTTTCGGGTATTCCTCTCTGTAATCTTGCGCAGGACACATGTGCGCATGTGTGGGATGTCATGTTTAGTCGTTCACTTCACTCTCGCTCTCATGTCTTGTGGAATTCGCACGATATATCCATTGCCTACGAGGCTGTGGAAGAGCGTTCTCGTCAGGTCGTTATGCCGGGTGGGTATTTTTCATGGTGTGTAGAGTTTAGTTTAGCCAGGTTGGATGTGGTTGCCGTTTTATTCTCGCAGATAATTCAAGAAGAGGATGGCCTCAATGTGCACATTCTCTGCGATCGCGGTGTGACTACACACTTCAATATCTTGCGGGATCTTGTTTCAGATCTACTTGGTCAAGTGGTGGCAAACCCGGTGGCGGACGCCCTTCTTGCAAGCTTTGCACGCTGGATTCGTGACCCTGTCTCCTGTTGCTATGAACCTCGGTTGCTAGAACTTGTAAGTAAGCTTGCTCATCGAGCCCTCACCAATGTTCTTATCCGTCTGGCAAAATTGGGTGGACGTACCGTAAAGGTGGATGGAGATTCGATTGTTGTGCTTACCCCTAAGCATACCATTCAGGATGCAGTTAGTTTTGCTCGTTACATGGTGGATTCTTTGCAGGACCAACCCATGTTACTCCTCTTGTCTCTTCAGCCTATTCGATATTGGTGTCCATTTATGGTTCTTGACAAGCGAGATTTTGCATGCTTATGCCTTTCTAGTGAAGATGCTCTTGGTTTGAAGGAGAGGGAGCAAATGCCACCTGAAAGGCTGAGGGTTGAAAATGCGTTTACAATCTGGGGTAGGCTGCCCAAGAAGGTGAAGAGTGTCTTTTTTCGGCGCGTTGAAAGCACACTACGGCTCATTGCAGAGATACGTGAAAAGGTGTTTCAGGAAATTCAAGCAGACCCCACGGTTGTTCTTGCCACCAAAAGTGAGCAAATTCTATTAAGACAAGTGAAGGCTTTTAAGGCTGCAATTGAGAATAAACTGCATGGTGAACTTATCGATGAGGTCCATGGACTCATGGAACGCAAAGACTTGTATGAGGAAGGTGAGGTTCCGAGTGGCGATACACCCTTGTCGGGTGTTGCAGTGGCGTTGGAGTACACTAAGACCATTTGTCGTTTACTCGATTTATTCCACAATGATGGGGTTGTGGGGAAGATGCACAATAACTGTTTGCGCCTTTGTGGGGTTAGTCCCTTTTCCCCGTTAGCCCAGCTGATTCCAGATGTCGAAGCAGAATGTCGCTTGCTAATGGTGAGGTGCAGTTTTTGCAACCACGATCTCCTTCTCGACTTGGGCGTGCAGGAAAAACGTTTGCGCTGCGATTGGTGCCATGCACCAATTTCCACATCCGCCCTGGAGTCCCACCTTGTGCGACGTGTCAACGACCTCGTTATGAACCATTTGCAGCAGGACTTTAAGTGCAGCAAGTGCAATGAGGTTGCGTCGAGCTTCATAAGTCAGAGTTGTTGCGGTCCTCTTGTAGGAAAAGGCAAGCCGATCGCCTCTCAGCTTCAGGCATTGCGCAAGTTTGCCCTCATTCAGGACTTCCCATGGTTAAAAGAGAGCGTTGATTTGGCGCTTCGCTTCTCCTGAGTCGACTCGAACAAATAGAGAGAGAGAGAGAGAGAGAGACAGTGAAGAAGAATGGAAAGAAAAGAAAAAGAGGGAATGAGTGGGGATGATGGGGAATAAAAAGTGAGTGGAGTAACTTCCATAGAGACCGGGAAGTCTTGCCGCTGCTGCGGCCCTTTCCACATAGAATCACACGGCGTTTTGCATCACGATGAAATCATGAAACAGGCATAAGCTAAAAGGCAGGGGCTACGCTTGTTTGACTTTTCTCTGCACATACCTGTCTATAGGAGAGGCACGCAATTGGAATAATATATATATATATATATATACATTTGTATGCATGTTCCTTTCCTTTACTCTTGCACCGTAGCCCACAAAAGCTTCATTAGGGCCTAATTGTTACTTGAACAGGATCCCATTGGATCTGTTTCCTGAACGCCAGGGAGTTTTTCTTGTTTACTTTACAGTTTGTTATCGGTGCTACCTCCCCGCTTACCTGAATGCTAGCCGTGACGTGGTTGTTGTACATGCGGCCACGCCACATCATGTTTACACCTCCACCTCTTGCTAGGCGCCGGGGTTTTTTTCGATGTCGGGTGTGCCAGAATTCTTGGGGTTCTTCGAATGTGTGGGTGACAAAAACGACGCAGCGGGTCTACCAAGGCGAGTCTTGCGAGAAATGTGGCACAACCACAAAGCCGTACTACGTTGGTCGATCAGCAGAAACAGTTTTCAATCGCGTAAAAACACCGCATCCGGTGAAGGCCGAGGCATCCAGCAGCCGACATGGGAAAAAGTTAAGGCATTTGCGGTATGACTGGCGGGTGCAGCGAGGTCGAAGATGAAAATGTTTTTTCATGGTGTGATGTGTGTGTGGGCGGGGCAAAGAGAGAGGAAGGATTTTTGCTGCTATTTTTTTTTTCTTGTGGAAACTTCGGTGGTAAAAGTGAGGGGATGTACTGAGGCAGCTGCTGCCATCATCCGTCTTTTTCTTTGCTTCTGTTTTTTTGTGTGCTTTGAGTTTTTTAAAAAAATCTGTGAATTTAACCCTTTCTCTTTCTTTTTCTTTTTTCTCTTTCCTTCTTTTTGGACCTCTTTCACGTTGTTTGTGCTTTATACAACGCGTGCGTATCTCGAATTTTTTTTTTTTTAAGGGCAACATATTTTCTTATGGTTGTAATAGTGTGGCTCTCTTTTATTTTGTGCGTCTCCGCCACGATTTCAATAATTATTGGGGGAATTATTTACTACGCATATGATGAAATTCTTCAACAACGAACTGAGAGCCTTTTATTTAACCAGCCTGGTGTGTGCTCCATCTTTTATATAAACTGCGCCTTCCCCATTGTTACTCTTACGACCGGCCCAATCTCACGGCAAGTGAAAATCTGGGATAAGATCGATCCCATGTATTTTTGCATGGTTTCATCTCCGGCGCACGTGCCGTGTTGGTGGTCAAAAGAAAGGCATTTATCGGGATTTGTGCGAATTGGGCCTGTTCCACCAGTAACGAGATCGCTAAGGATGTTTTCTATCGCTCTCATGGCACTGGGTGGACTCGTTATTTTCACCGGCATCACTTATCTCTACATCTTCAGAGGGAAGTATATTGAGTGGTTGCGTCGAAGTAGGGATGCAAGCCAATCAGGCAGGTCACAACAGCAAGACGATCGGAGGGGTACGCAGATGAATGGCCAATCCACGATGATTGAAGAAAGCAAGCTGGCGGAGGCGTATCCGATGTCTAATCCAAACTGGATGGAGGAGGCGACAACTCAAACTGCTTATGCAAGGAGACGTCTTGAAGTTTTAGGGCGTTTTTTTGAGGCCCGGCGAATGCAATTTGCAGGCAGGGAAGTATCTTCAGAGCCGTTTGGCTTTCTAGCTTACTCAAACATGGAAACGGAATACGATGAGGATGATTTCCCCGTGGATGAGTGTTATGTATGTCTATCACGTTTCCGTCGGCGGATGATCTGGTGGCCTTGCGGCCATTGGTTGTGCGCCAGCTGTGCACGTAAAGTTTTAAGAAAGACGGTGTCTCCCGGGTATGCCAGCTGTCCTAATTGCCGAGGCTCATTCTTACGAGAGGATCTACTTGTGCTGCATTTATTTCCGAAGGCAGTAACTCCTGTTGCTGAAAACTTTCCTGAAAACGAAAATAGTAATGAGAATGGCAATCGTATTTCTAGCGTTGAAATTGAAGAGATATCTGGCTTGGTATAATTAGGCTTGTCACCGCGTGGCAAGGGCAAAAACAGTGAAGCCCATGGAATCCGTTGATCGGCTTGGCTTTTTTTTCCTTTTTTACGGGCTTTTTTTTTTGTTCTCACCCATCCTCGCTTTCCTTGAGTACAACTGCAAACATAAAATTTATACCAAAAAAAAAAAAAAAAAAAAAACGAATATTTTTGTGTTCTCATTGGCGAGGGAAGTATGAACTACATTTTTTTTTTTTTTGCGTGTATTTCAGTGTATTTAAGTGTTAGTTTGTTTGGAAGAATAAAAAATAACAACGACGTTTTTTGTTTGTTTTGGGTTTATATTTCCATTTTTTTTTTTTTTACTGTTACCACTTTTCCCCCGTTTTTTTTCTTGTATGTGTTTTCTTTCTTTGGTTGAGTGCGCTACTTTGGGGGGGGTGGGGGTGGAAAGGGGAGAGGGGAGAGATGGATGTGTTGCGGCTTGCAAACTTCACACTCAATTGTGCAGCAGGGATAATTTTTGAAGTTGGCATGAGAGCGGTGGTATGTGCATTGAATTTCCTTCTGGATACATCAATATTTTTGGAAATAAAATAAAAAAAGAGGGACGAGTCGTGGACAGTTTTATTATTATTATTATATATATATATATACTGCATTTGAATAGCGTGTGGGAAAGATTGTTCAATAAGATGGGGTCAATTAGGAAATGAGGTACTTTGTGGAACTGCTCTGTTTATTTATTTGTTGGTTAGTGTGCTTTTTAGCGTGTTACTTTTGGAGAAAAATGAGTGTAGTCCTTTTTCCCCTTTTCTGTTGCCCCACGCATTTCTTCCTTTCACCCTCCACGTGGAGGGGGAAAACAGGGGCTGAGGAAACCGTGAAAGCTGCCAGTTCGTGGGTTCACAACGAGCCCGGTTATCACGACAAATATATTTGGAGTCGGTTTACTACTGTCTGAGTGTGGGTGCGGGTTAACTCGTTTTTGAAGCGGGGGATGCTGGGCGCACTGAACCAAACTGTCGTTTCTCTCTTGTTGCTGTCCTTTCACTTTATGGGAACGAAGGACAAGGCTTCAGCCGGGAGCATGTTGTTTTTGCATGATTTTTTATTTATTTTCCGTCTTGTCTTTTTGGGCTTAAACCGTACTGGCGACAGATAAAGGGATAAAAAAATGTCTGTGATACGGCTTCCGAAGAACGAGCTTGATGCTCAAATTTACCGCTACCTTCAGGAGGCAAACTACGCAGACGCAGCAGAGGCTTTGAAGTTGGCCAATTCAGCCGTCGTTTCGGCAGCTCGAAGGCTTAAGTTTTCGGCACTTATTGCCGCCAAAAATCAGATTAATGAGGATTCCGACAGCGACGACGAGCCGGTGCGCAAGCCCAGCAAGCCATCACCAAAGGCTGCTCCCAAAAAGGCCATGGCCGACTCCGACAGCGACGACGAGCCGGTGCGCAAGCCCAGCAAGCCATCACCCAAGGCTGCTCCCAAAAAGGCCATGGCCGACTCCGACAGCGACGACGAGCCGGTGCGCAAGCCCAGCAAGCCATCACCCAAGGCTGCTCCCAAAAAGGCCATGGCCGACTCCGACAGCGACGACGAGCCGGTGCGCAAGCCCAGCAAGCCATCACCCAAGGCTGCTCCCAAAAAGGCCATGGCCGACTCCGACAGCGACGACGAGCCGGTGCGCAAGCCCAGCAAGCCATCACCAAAGGCTGCTCCCAAAAAGGCCATGGCCGACTCCGACAGCGACGACGAGCCGGTGCGCAAGCCCAGCAAGCCATCACCCAAGGCTGCTCCCAAAAAGGCCATGGCCGACTCCGACAGCGACGACGAGCCGGTGCGCAAGCCCAGCAAGCCATCACCAAAGGCTGCTCCCAAAAAGGCCATGGCCGACTCCGACAGCGACGACGAGCCGGTGCGCAAGCCCAGCAAGCCATCACCAAAGGCTGCTCCCAAAAAGGCCGTGGCCGACTCCGACAGCGACGACGAGCCGGTGCGCAAGCCCAGCAAGCCATCACCCAAGGCTGCTCCCAAAAAGGCCATGGCCGACTCCGACAGCGACGACGAGCCGGTGCATGCTTCTTCCAAACGCACTAGTCGTGCTGAAGAAGGGGAGGATGAACCTGTGAAGAAGGTTAGTCGTGTCGAAAATAGGGAGGAAAATGGATACAATGGTTTTGGTAACCGTGGTGGCCGTGGCTTCGGTGATCGTGGTGGCCGTGGCTTCGGTGATCGTGGTGGCCGTGGCTTCGGTGATCGTGGTGGCCGTGGTTTCGGTGATCGTGGTGGCCGTGGTTTCGGTGATCGTGGTGGCCGTGGTTTCGGTGATCGTGGTGGCCGTGGCTTCGGTGATCGTGGTGGCCGTGGTTTCGGTGATCGTGGTGGCCGTGGCTTCGGTGATCGTGGTGGCCGTGGCTTCGGTGATCGTGGTGGCCGTGGCTTCGGTGATCGTGGTGGCCGTGGCTTCGGTGATCGTGGTGGCCGTGGCTTCGGTGATCGTGGTGGCCGTGGCTTCGGTGATCGTGGTGGCCGTGGTTTCGGTGATCGTGGTGGCCGTGGCTTCGGGCGTGTTACTCCAAATCTTGATAACAATCGTGAAAGCACTAAGTTTGAAGAAAGCGACTAGGCAATTAACTACGATAACAAATCCCTATGGTCATAATTAAATGAGAATTAAGGTCTAACTTTAGGAGAACTAAAATATTTTTTTGTAAAACCGGGTGAATATGAATTTAATATTACGTAGCGACGCTGAACCACGCTTTCACTTCACTAAAAAAGAATTTAATTTATTCTGCATACCGCTAGTTGTTGCATGATTTTATTTTCAGTTGTCATTATTCGTTTTACTCCTTTTTGCCTTTTAGTTTAGTGAGGATTAAGAACTTTTTGAGTGATGGCACATCGTCATTTATAAAGGGGTTTTTTCCCTGTGGGCTGGTCGTTCCCAAGGATGTGAGGTGACATTCCTTTTGAGGGCTATTGGCTTTCTACGATAACTCAGGGTACTTGAGTGTGTTTCCATGGCAATGCAGTTGAAATCTCCATGAGATCGAGCACAGATACTTTTTCATTTCGCTTTTTGGTTTGAATGCGTTCCTTATTTGGTCAAATTGGATACCTAATGGAGTTTGTTGGGTTTCTTGAATCTGAGGATGCATGAAAAAGAGGTGGAATAGGATGGCAGAGTGTTACCTCTAAGGAAGGAAGAACAGAGGGATTCTTCCAGCGTGGAGATTGTAGCTGATTTTAAAAATATTTTTCACGAAGGGTTGTTCAAGAGCTGTGCTTTTTGGGTCGAATGGCGTCAAGCAAGGGTTCAGAATATTGTGAAAACTTGCTTCCCTGAAAAAAACAAATCACTACATAAAAGTGGCCATATATATATATATATATAATAGGGGTTCTTTCTCTTTGCGGTGCGTCTGCTGAGCTAAAGTTGTTGTTGTTGTATCTATTTTTTAACCTATTTCATTCTCCTTTTTTTTTGTTTATTTCTCATTTAAATTTCTGTGCTGATATAGATTTTGACATCTATGTCTACAAAAAGAGGCATGCCTGGACCCAGCACAAGAGGCCGTCCCTCTGTGTTGCATGGAGCAGGGACACTGGATGGTGATCCCTTTGACATTTCAGGCGCAGGGTGGGCGAGTCTCGAAAATAAGTTTAATGAACTACTCCGCTTGATGGACGCGCCGGCCAATGGGATAAATGCATTGGCAGCCCGTTCCGCCCACGGCGATCGTGTAGCTAGTGTCATTGTCCAATTGCTGGACCGAGCCCAGGAGGAGAGCCGCAGGCTTCTGGTGGAGGGGGACGGCGAGGGGGCAGCTGAGGCAGGTGTCAAAACGCTGCGTTTAAAGGAACGGTTTTACGGAAGAACAAGTGTGAAGCTACTTCCAGCCTACTTTCACCTGGCGCGCACCAACCAGTTTTTAGAACGCTATGGAAACGCAGAGGAAATGTTGTCACTTGCCCACTCTATTGTCCTTAACCACCCGCAGGACGTTGACACAGCAATGAAAGCGGAACTTCATCAGGCATTTGGGCTCTTGTACGCTGCTGATAATAAACTTGAAGCCGCTGTACAGCATTTGACAGCTGCCACGTACTATCTGAGCGTTATGAATGGACCGGAGAACATATTGACAGCCTTTGGGTATTTTGACCTGGCCAATGTGTTTGCGACAAAGGCAAGTATGGAAGGAGCAATGGCGCTTTACGACACGGTAAAGAACATTTGGTTGGAACACCTGCGAGGTCTCCTGAAGGCTATTGTGGAGGAAACCCTAGCAGCAAGGTCCGTCAAGCGCTACGAGGACGATGAGGTTGTGCAGGACACGGGATATTCATCTGCGAAGGCCTTTGGAAAGGAAAATTTAGCCGACGTTTCTAAGATGTTGCATGCCATTTATAACATTCAGAAAGATCGCTTCACCCCCTTGCACCCGACGACAGCACGAGCAGAGTTTGTGCTTGGCCTATTTCTTCTTTGGGTAAGTAAAAAAGGGGAGGCGGCGCATCATCTGCAAACAGCACGGGCGACGTCGCAACATTTCTACGGTGAGCGGCATCCAGTAGTACAGGAAATAGAAGAGTGGTGCGAGTGGTTTGAAATACCCTTGACGGAAAGCAAATAAGGGGAACAGAAGCCGTAGTAAATTTTTTTGTGTTTCTGTTTGTGCGTTGGTGGGTGTGAATATTTCCCCATTATGTAAATGTACCGTCAGGAAAACAGAAAAAGCTAAACAACAACAACAACAAAAAAGGGTTGCTTATTTTCGTCTTGTGTTCTACTAACGTTTATTGTTTCATTGCTTTCTTTGATGAAGAATTATATTTTTTTTTTCTTTTTTTTTTATTTGGCCGCCTTTATGCTTTGGTGATGCTCTCTCGCGTTGGGAGTACACAAGCTGCACTGGCCATATATATACATATACATGTATATCTTCTCCAGTGAGCAATTCTTTTTTAGGTGTCTGTGAGTTTGCGCGGCGCGGCATTCAAAAAAAAAAAAAAATGATCGACTTTTACACAGCAGAAGATGTGTTTTACGAGTTGTCCACCATCCGGGACCCAGAGAAACGGAGTTACACGCTGGCGGACTTGGGGGTTGTGGCACAGGATCGCTGCAGCATTGAGTACGACCAGTATCATAGCGATTCCCTTGCTGGAGATGGCGGGAAAAGCGTGAGTGGCGCACCCACCCCAAAGCGAATAGCGGTGGTGACAGTCGTCTTGAAACCGACCGTGCAGCACTGCAGTCTTATGGCACTTATTTGTCTTTGTGTTTACGCCAAGTTGAAGGAGGCTCTCCCACCGCGGATGTGTGATTGGAAAATTGACATTAAATTAGTTGATGGCTCGCATCTGCAACAGCGCGAACTAGAGAAGCAGATTTCGGACAAAGAAAGGGTGGCGGCGGCGCTGGAGAACGAGACGTTGATAATGGAAATGGATAGACTCATGAATCCGGATGCAGAATGATTCGTTTCTAAGGGAGCAAAGTTTGGGGATTTACTTTCAGCGTACGTATGCTTGTGTGTGTGTGTGTATTGGGATTGGCCCCAGAGGGCTTTGGTTTGTTGTTTGGTAATGTTGCAAGCGTGATTTACGCTTTCTCTCCCTCCCTTTCTTTCCTTTTTTTTTTTTTTTTTTTTTTTTTTTTGAGCGGGGAATGTTGATGGAGGTTTGAATTTCTTTGCGTTTCTGTGGACATACAGACATGTACGCTGTTGGCGTTGAGTCTCCCACCTTCACTCTTATTTTGTTTTTCTTTTCTTCAATTTTTTTTCCTGTCGCCGGTGAGTAACACACGCAGCAGCAATTCACGATGTCACTCAACCAGTTACAAGATCTCCAGTTTCAACTGAAGTTTGTCGCGAAGCAGTTTGGGAAGAACTCCACGCGTTGTGAGAAGGAACAGAAACAGGAAATGCAGAAGTGCAAAAAGGCGATGGAAAAGGGGAACATGGACGGGGCCCGTATCTTTGCGCAGAACAGCATCCGTAAGAAGAACGAGGCACTTAACCATCTTCGCCTTGCGGCTCGCATGGACGCCGTTGTTTCACGGCTTGATACTGCCGTAAAGATGAAGATGGTAACGAAGGGAATGGGACAAATGGTGAGGGGAATGGACAAGGTTCTTCAGTCAATGAATCCGGAGGCCATCTCGGTCCTCATGGACAAGTTTGAGAAACAGTTTGAGACAATGGATGTCGCCTCGGAATACATGGAAAACGCGATTGGACAGACAACGGCCACTAGTATGCCGGAGGATGAGGTAAGCACACTCATGGCGCAGGTGGCGGATGAACACGGACTGGACATCAAACAGCACCTGGATGATAAGATTAGAATAAGCAAAACGAATCCCATGGCAGTGGAAACGGTGGATAGCGAAAAAGACGATCTGGAGGAGCAGTTCGCTCGACTTCGAGGGAAATAGTGATAGCGGTGGCATTTTCTTTTCCTTCTTTTCTTTTTCTTTTTCTCTTTCTTTTCTCCTGTCCTTTGTGTTGTTGTGTACCCTTCTTTTTTCCAACTTTGTGCGTGTCTGTCTTGTGGGAGGAACTTTTTGGTTGTTTTCTTCTCTGCTGCCGCAACGACGCGTAATTTTTGAGTCTTTTCTTAGTCGTGCTGTTTAATGTGTCCACACTCCTTTATTTATCTGAGGGGGCGTACATGTGTGGGGAAATTGTCTTATCCATGACATATTTTTGTTGTTGTCGTTGATGTCGTTTGGTGGCTGTGACTGGCTCTTCCTTTTGATAAAAAAACAATAACAACCTTTTCTCTTGGTATCACATGTGACCACAGCCACTTATGCGGCCTTAGGCTATTGCCACCACAGTATTTATAAGGAGGGCGAAGATAATATTTGATAACGTCATGCTAACGTTGAATCGTCGTGACAAAGAAATTTGTCAAGAACTTATCAGGAAGAACTTTACACTCTCCCAGATTCAGAGTTATAATGAACCGGAGTACTCTGGGTGGGTATCTCGAAGGCGTCGCGTTTCCAACATTTTTGTGTGGGAACTTAATTGGTTAGCGACAAGCGGCAATTATCTTTTATGTTTTTCCCAAAAGAAGGACTCATGTCATCCCATCAAAATCATGTATCTCCCGGAGGCGATCATTCGGCGTTGTTCCATGAAGGAGGAATGCTGCGTCGGGCACCCTTTTGTATTGGAAATTGTCCCGTGTTTACATTTTGTTCGTGAGGAAAAGGGGTTATTTCCTGTGAAGCCACACGAAGTGCACTTCTCCTTTGAGAACGTGGAGGACTTGTGCGGCACGATTGCCTTCCTTGCAAAAATCAGCGCAAGACATGTGCGGACGGCCTCCATCACATTTGGGCCACCGACTCGAGTTAACCACCGCATTCATTTAAGAGCCGCACGCGGTAAGAATGACTTTGGCCTCGAACTTCTCCCGTTGCCAATGCGGGAATGGCTGCTGCGTCAGGGCATAACGTGCGCTGAGATGGCGGGAAATGAGACAACGGCACTAAACTGTGCTACGACTCTTTATGAAGTTCAGATGCAACGCGGCATGCTGGAAGATCTTCCACCCATTTCAGAGGAGGGAGTAACTGAGAAACGGTATGAAGATAAAGCAGGTGTGCCCCCCTTTCCCTTGCCGTCGGAGAATGAGGGCGGGGCGCTGGAGCCATTGCTCTCTGCGGGGGATCCAGAGTCTCTCTTTAGCGACTGGGAAAGGCTAGACGGTGGATCACAGGGTGAGGTATTCAAAGCCGTGAGAGTCGTGGATGGTAGGAAAGTTGCAATCAAGCGTATTACGGTGAGGGGCGATCACAAAGTGCCTCAATCCCTTGTGAAGGAAATGTCACTGCTTAAGGCACTTCATCATCCCAATATTGTGACGCTTTATGATTGTTATCGAAAGGGAAAACATTTATTTCTTGCTATGGAGTTAATGGATGGAGGCAAATTGACAGATTTACTGATCCCATCGGAGGGAGAACCAGTAGAATTTACGGAGGCACAGCTGGCAACACTGATACGAGAGGTACTTCGAGCTCTTCGGTGTCTCCATAACGCTCGATGCGTCCACCGCGACGTAAAGTCTGATAACGTTCTCTTATCTTCAAATGGCGAAGTAAAATTGGGGGACTTTGGCTTTGCCACACTTCTTACTTCTCCGGGAGGGATGCGCAGAACACTCGTTGGGACACCGTACTGGATGGCTCCTGAAGTCGCAGGTGGAAAGGCGTACAATGACAAGGCCGATGTGTGGAGTGCTGGAATTCTTTTTTTGGAAATGTGTGATGGACAACCACCGTTGATGGGCATGAATCCCATGCGAGCGCTTCTTACAGTGAGCACGGGACCACCGCCAGTTATGAGAACGGCGAACCGTTGGTCTTCACTATGCAGAGAATTTGCGTCATTCCTTTTAGTAAAGGATCCTGCGCGGCGTCCCAGTGTTGATGACGCCCTAAGACACCCCTTTATTGTAAAAAAGGCGGAACCAACGTGTCGGTTTGTGGCAACCATCCTGCAACGGAGGAAATAGTTGTTTTGGACTACTCTACCAAATGCTTGCTAAACCTTTTCTTTTGTGTTTTTCTTTTTGTTTGTTTCTGCTGTAATGATCTTAAAAAAACACTATGCGCACCTGCACTTTTTTGTTTCCACCGTCTCTCTCCACACATCAAAGCACCACAATTCTTTTGGCACCTTCTGTGCGTAAGCTTTTCGCTGATACCCTGGTATTTGCCGCAATGCACCAGTTGTGTATTTATAGACGGCATACATACTTTGTTTTGTCCCTCTTTTTTTTCCCCCCTCTCTCTTTTTGTTACTTTTGCTTGCTGGGGGCTTGTTGTTGCCGGCAGTTAAAAGGTAAGGGAAATTTCTTAGAGGAAGACTTTTTTTTTTCTTTCTTCCCTGAAATTTCTACACGAAAAACAGAGAGAGAGAGAGAGAGAGAGAGTAGTCATTCTCAGAGAGCCATGGGGGGAATTACCCAGATAGAGGCGGATCCTGCCGATACAACCAGATATCTCTCTCCGACAGTCCGATTTCGTATTCCAGACGGTGATTCGGAATCCCGTCCCAAGACTGCATTGACGACACTCACACTATTGGGAGTTATTTACACCGCGAGTATCAGCGGGGGATATGGATTGGAGGAGTCTGTCAGTGCAGGAGGACCTCTCTTGACGATAATCTTTCTATTTCTTATTCCATTTTTATGGGGCATACCGGTGTCATTGTGCGTTGCAGAATTATCCTGTGCAATCCCGTCCAACGCGGGTCCTATTATGTGGGTGAATGTTTCATGTGCCTCGTGGTTTACATTTTGTACTGTCATATGGACGGCTT